CCTCCCCAAATACTTCTCCTCTTCTACCATTACACTGGTTCCCAAGGATAAAACTCCTTGCAAATGGGAGGATTTCAGACCCATTAGTCTCACTTCTGTCATTTCTAAGATAATCAGTAAAGTCCTGGTTCATAGATTACAACCCTACCTAAACAAGCTCATTTGCAAGAATCAGTCTTCTTTCATCATAGATAGAAGCATTATTGATAATGTGCTCTTGGCCCAAGAATTGGTACTGGACTTGGACAGAATCACTAGAGGAGGCAACTTAACTTTCAAAGTAGATATTAAAAAGGCTTATGATACTATAAGCTGGAGTTTCATTGAACAGGTTCTGATTGATAGAGGTTTCTCAACCTCCTTTGTCTCTCTCATCAACAGATGGCTGTCCAAGGATTACCATTCAATCTTCATCAATGGATCCTCTCATGGGTTTTTCAGTGCTTCTAGAGGTATAAAACAAGGTGACCCCCGCTCCCCTATTATCTTTATCTTAGCTTTTGACTACTTATCCAGAAGTTTGAATGAGTTGGCATCCAGGAAACCCCATTCTCTTTATAGTCACAGATCTTTCACATTAATTAATCATCTGGCTCTTGCTGATGACATCATAATCTTTACAAAAGCTTCCAAAGTTGCAGTCAAACTATTAATGAAGAATCTGGAGACCTTTCAGGATGTTTCTGGAATGAAATTCAATAAACAGAAGTGCATTTCCATTTTCAGTAAGTAGTGCAAGGGTGAGTTTAAGTCCTGGGTTACTGATTTCACGGGTTCAAAAATAGTTGCCTTCCAATGAAATACCTGGGAACAGTTCTTATTAAAGAAAGAACTAAGAACATTCATTTTGATCATATAATTGACAAGGTCCAAAGTAAACTGCAAGTGGGAGAATTCCTTTTTATCAAATGGGGGTAGGATCACACTCCTCAAAAGTGTTCTATCTGCTTTACCATCCTATTTACTGCAAATGAACATTCTGAAAAAGTCTTCTCAGAGATTGTTAGAAGGGATCTTTAATAGATTCCTGTGGGCTGGCCATAGGAAGCAAAAACATTGGACCTCTTGGGCTATGGTGTGTAAACCTGTTGGGGAGGGTGGGTTAAGCTTCAAGTCTTTCTCCCAAATTATGCACTCTAATTTCTGCAAACTCTAGCTCAGATTCACATCTCAGTCCTCCCTATGGGCTGAATTCCTGTGGGGAAAATATTGCAGGTATCGCCATCCTTCCCAACTCTTTGTGGGTTTAGGAGATTCCCTTATTTGGAAAAGGATGTTAAAAGTTAGGCAAGATTTTGAATAATTGTTTATCTGGGAAATTGGTGAGGGCTTGGTAAACATCTGGTGGGATAATTGGACCTTGGATGGCTGCCTTCTGCATAATCAGATTGCTCTAGCTGCCCCAGTTTTTGTGAAAGACATCTGGGCTCATGGTAAGTAGAACCTTTCTCCAATCCTTTGTTTCTGCAGCCCTTCTCAACTATCCAATATTCAGAAGCTGTTTGTTAAACCTGGGGTTAAAGACAGAATTGCTATAAGAAAGAACCCAATCCCCTCTCAGCTTCCCTAACTGGTACACTGGGGTCATACCATCTTGAATAAATTCCTTACCCCATCAATGTCCTTTTTCATATGGAGACTCTTCTTAAAACTGATTCCAACTGATGATATTTTAAAATTGAAAGGGCATAGGGGTCCCTCCAGATGCACTTTCTGCCAGTCTCAAGAGGAAACTATTACCCATCTTTTCTTTGATTGCATTTGGGTACAGGATGTTTGGTCTTTTGTGATTGGTAAACTTAGGATCCCAACAATGAATCTCACATGGAAGGTTTTCTATACTAGCTGGTCTGATTGGAGGGGATCTAATCTCCAGGACATCCCCAATATTGTGGCATGGTTTGTGTGGATGGCTAGAAACCAGGCAAAGCATGATAACTCCCATCTTGATCCTATAAGGGTGGGTCTTAATTGTATTGCTTTCATTCAAAAACTGATTAAATTTAAAAAGTTT